GATGGAGGGAGGGATGGAGGGAGGGATGGAGGGAGGGATGGAGGGAGGGATGGAGGGAGGGATGGAGGGAGGGATGGAGACCAGCCTTGCCCAGAGAAATCAGTGCCCCAGCTGGGTTGTTGGGAAGGGGGGAGTCATTCCGTGATCCAGTGATTCATTATCCTGCGATGCTGAGTGCTGGCACCAGGTGATGGGGGGAAATCAGGAGTTCATGATGGTCAACAGACCCAGAAGGTGACCATGGAATGGCATCCAGTGTCCTCTGTCCTTCCAGTGGAGCTGTGTTGTGGTATCATGGCTCCCAGAGACGACGATTCCTATGGCCACCACCACCGGCATCGCAGCTCCTGAGTTACTGTCCCTCAGGCCACCATGCTGTGGCCACCACCAGGCCTCTGGGACAGAGAATCCTTCTCAGCAGCCGAGCGAGATGCTGGATTTGCTGTGCTGCTGTTGGACGCCTCGGTGGCAGGAGCAGAGCTGCCACCTCCAGCACTCTGCAGCTCCGAGCGGGCCCGGCTTTCACACAATGCCCAGTGTCCTCCATCCCCTCCACGGGGTCTTTGTGGGTGTCACTGACCCCTGAGGCAGCCCCCAGGCCAGGTGCCTGCTGTGGAGGACAAGGGATGGACCACAGGTGAGCCTGGATTGGCCCCTTTGCACCATCCAAGGTGGCAGGAGACGGCCAGTGTCGCTCATCCGTGGCTGTCACTACGCAACCCAAACCTCCCCATGCCCAGCCTGAGGCCATTCCCTCTCCTCCTGTCCCTGTTCCCCCCTGGCTGTCTCCTCCTGGCAGGGAGTTGTGCAGAGCCAGAAGGGCCCCCTGAGCCTCCTTTTCTCCAGGCTGAGCCCCTTTCCAGCTCCCTCAGCCCCCCCTGGGGCTCCAGCCCCTTCCCAGCTCCATTCCCTGCCCTGGACACGCTCCAGCCCCTCATGTCAAGGCCCAGAGCTGGATGGTCACAGCAGCAGCGCTGCTGGAGGAGGGGACATGAGCCCGTGCAGCTGCCCATGAGTCAGGGAGCAGCCCCCAGCCGTGCCAGCCCGTGCCAGGCCCTGCCAGCACCCTGCAGCGAGGGACACCCCCTCCCTCCCGCCTCACTGTCCCCACGCTGTGTCCCCACGGCATTAATGCTCCGTTTTCCAGCCTTCAGAACCCCTTTCTCCAGGAAGGACCCCGGGGCTCCCCTGCACACGGCCTCACCTCGGGGGGCCCTTGGTGCTGCTCCATCGCGGGGGTCACATCCCGCTGCCGGCGGGGAGGGGAGCACGGAGGGGCTCAGCCCCCGCCTCACTCCTCACCTCAGGGATCCGGGACACCCGGAACCTGTTGGGGAGCATCACGTCAGCCTGTCCCCCCTGCAGAGGGGACACACCCCGGGCAGCTGTCCCTGCTTACCTGCCGATGGAGAGGATGGTCACCTCGCTGGGATGAGCTCCAGCCTTGGGGACTTTGGTGGCACTCAGCGATGGCAGCACCTCGGGCCACTTCTGGCCGCAGCGGGCACAGGGGGCCGGTCCCTGCACCGTGTGCAGGTGCTGCTGGTGCTGGCAGGCGGGGGGAAACTGAGGCAGGAGGTGCAGCCTGGGGAGGGGGGAAATGCCATCAGTGTGGGGGTGGTCCCACCATGGGGGTCCTCAGTGCAGCCCTAGGGAACCCTTACTTATTGAGGGGGGCACAGCTCGGGGGCATCAGCTGCTGCCTCTGGTGCTCCTTCAGCAGCTCCTCCAGCGCCGCTGCATTTTCTGTGTGAGGGAGGACACCGAGGAGTTGGGGGTCACGGGGCTCTGACCCAGGTCACCCCGTCCTCCCCCTTCCCCGGGAGCCCCTGACCTTTCTTCTCGGTGATCAGCCGCACCAGCACCCCGATGGTGTCCTCATTGGCATCCTCCAGCTGGTAGATGGAGCTGGGACCTGGGAGCAGGAGTTAGGGAGAACTCGGTGATGGACAGTAAGGCACCCCAAGGACAAGCAGGATGCCCTGGGACAAAGAGGACCAGAAACCACAGGAATGGGCTGAGGAAGATGAGCTGGATGTGGGATCACCAAAGGTGTCCCGGCACAACCAGGGCTCACCGGTGCCACCGGGCTGGGGCTCCTTGCTGGCGGTGCAGTGATAACCCTTCTTCTTCAGCAGGTTGCAGACCAGGATTCCCAACAATCCCATGGCACAGAAGACCGGGACGATGGTCAGCACGGCTGCCTGCGCTGCTGCCGCCTCCTCCTCCTCCTCCTCACCCAGCAGGGTCACCCGTGTCCCGTTGGCTCCCGGTGCCCGGCCCGGCGCTCCGGGGCTGCGGGCTCTCCGCCGGCCTGCGGGGAGGTGCGGGATCAGCCTCAGAGAGGGGCTTTGTTGCCATCAAACCCCTTTTCCCCAGGAGCCCCGCACCAG